TCTTTCTTTCTTTCTTTCTTTCTTTCTTTCTTTCTTTCTTTCTTTCTCTTTCTTTCTCTCTCTCTCTCTGTCTCTTTCTTTCTTTCTTTCTCTCTCTCTCTCTCTCTCCCTCCCTCCCTCCCTTCCCTCCCCTGCAGATGTTTTGTTTTGTCTGAGTAGATCTGAACCAAAGTTCTTTTCCCCACCTTGTCCCTGCAAGCTCAAGACGGCATTGCCCATTGCCTTCCTGATTGTCAGTGTTCTGCCCCGGGAGGTACGTGCCGCATACTTGTGCCGCGTCCCCGTTTCCTAGCTCTATAGCCTTGAGCATCTTAGGAGTTTGGTAGATGGTGCTGGTATCTTATTACCTTGCCTGTCTTATATTTATGAGCAACTCAAAGGGCTTTGAGGATTTTCTTTCTTTCTTTTTTTTGTATCTAATCTTCTAACAACTCTCTGAGGTAGGCAGCATGAAGTGTTATCTCATTTTGCAGATGTCACAACAGAGGTGTACCACACCATGATGGAGGCCCTGCAGCAAATCACGGGCCCAGTGCACAACGTCTCCCTGACTTCTAACTTCCATTTCTCTCATCTGGATGCCAGACGACTTAATTTTAATTTTGAACACCTATGCCCATTTGGGTTTTGCTAGAAGTATTGGCAGCCCTCCTAGGGGATGCAGTGCCGCTCCAGTTTTAGTGTGAGTTTTTCTGTCTTTTGTGTCCTTCCTCGTTGGTCACACACACCTACACGTGTGTGTGTGTGTGTGTATGTGTCTGCATAATGAAAAATGATGTGTCTTCTTTCTTTCAAAAGAATTGATACACAAAATTGGGTTCTACCAATGGGTTACTTGGTCTGGGAAAGGCATGCAAATATAGGAGATGGTGGCATTATTAGTCTGATATTTTGTGACTATCTTGTCATTTGAGTATACCTCGTTGACATTAGCTACAGACAGGAAAACGTTTAAAAATATAGTTTGTGACGACAATAGGAATTGTTAGAAAGTGAAGGCCGATGTTAACAGGGATAAATTTTTTTTTTAATTTGTTTAAATGTTTGTTTCTGAGAGAAAAGGACAGAGTGTGAGTGGGGGAGAGGCAGAGGGTGAGGGAGACACAGCATCCGAGGCAGGCTCCAGGCTCTGAGCTGTCAGCACAGAGCCCGACGCCGGGCTCGAACTCACAGACCGGGAGATCATGACCTGAGCCGAAGTCAGATGGTCAACAGACTGAGCCACCCGGGCGCCCCTAAATGTTTTTTGTTAGAGAACGCTTCATGCAAATGATCGTCTCCCCCAAATGGGCTCCTACGATAACTTCCATGTACTTTTCCTCAAAATGTGAAGGTTGTCACTTTTCACTTAGAGTTAATGACTTTTGGGTTTTTTTTTTTCTTTTGAATTTCAAATTGTACCGCAAATGTAAGTTCCTGATGAGATCTGCCCAGGTCTTTAAAGGGAGTGTCTTGAGGGGCTCTGCGTCTGCGAGCACGGTGTGGGGTAAGGCTGCTTTCTTCTTGATGACCGAATCCGGAACATCCCCGTCCTTCACCGAGCGGCCTTCGCTCTAGCGAGGTGTAGTGTTCCTGGAGTCCCTGGGGCCCGGTTTCATTTCCCGGCTGTGGCAGGGTGGTGGGGCCGGCTGTGACCAGCCGCCCTGGGGATCAGCCCGGAGACCTCTGATCTCCCTGAGCCCCGGGAGGGCATTTCGAGCACCCGGGGGCCACCCTCCCCTCGGTCAGCCTCGCCTCCCACCCCCAGCTCTTGGGAGTGCCACCCGGCTGCCTCGAAGCCATGTGGGGGCCGGGCTGAGGCCACCCAGGGCTTGCGTGGAGCGGCTGTGGCTGCAGAGAAGGTTCTCACTTATCTGTGCTGAACATGGGTGGCCGGGATCCCTTAGGATCATGCAGTGTCTCAGTGTCCGGGGGTGGAAGCTCGTTGTCCTCCTCCCAGCTTGTCGTCTGAAGCTGTCTTGTATGGCTTCCGGATTTTGCTGACTCACAGAGGCACGCGGGACAACTCGGTCCCTCACACGCTCCCTCACCCCTGTTTCATGGCTCTTGAAAGGACTCCGAAGAGAACCCATCTCCCTGCTGGGGGGTGGGGTCACCGCTTGAACCTGACGGAGAGGGAGGTGTTCACCCAGGTCCCCCAGGTCTGAAAAACTTCCTCTTCCTCCTTCCCTGCTAAGTGGTGTCTTTTTCGTTCCCATCTCGCCCCTGGGAAGCGCCCTGGGCTGAGCCATAAGCCGACGTGTGGCCGGTGGGTGACTCCAGATGCCTACGTCACGCTGGGGTGCTTCTGCACGTACGTGAGTGACAAGGAGGGCGTTTTGGTTTCCCCGACGGAAAGTGGCCATTTCTGACGACCGGTCGATGAAGAAGGCTTCTTCGCCCATCTCTCTCCCTTGTGCTGAACTGTCACGAAAAGGGACGAAGGACCAGATTCCTGGCGCGTGGCCCGGGGCGCTTGGTGGAGTCTCTCTCAGCAACACAGAGTCACAGAGCGGCCGGCTCGGTGCCTTTCGGAGGCCGGAGACCCAGCTTACTCCCGGTGGAAGCTTCGAGTTTGGGAAGCCGCGCTGTAATTTGGTGAGGTTTGGCAGGCACCCGCGGGCCCGGCAGCCACGGGGACTTGGGCCTGAAAACCTAGACCGTCGGCTCTCCTCCTTAATGACTCTGGCACCGTGTCATTAGCGCCTTCTCAGGGGCAGCGGCAGTACCACACTGTAGCGATCGTTTTGTTTTTTTTTTTTTTTTTTTTTTTTTTTTCTGGCAATAACGGTCTTAGGCTGTTTTAGTATACAATAAGACTTAATCGAGGCCAAAGTGAACGCGTGTGTAGACAGCATTCCTAACTTGGTAGCTTGGGTAAACTCCTTGGAATTACCCGCATGTGCTAGTTGTGCCCTCGAAAATGCCGGTTATATCGGATCCCCTACTTCGTGTGGGTCACTTCTTGCCCACGTTAGAGAAGTCATTTAACGGGTAACTCGCACACCTTCCTCAGTGATATTTTAGACTAATAACAACATACAAAAATAGTCTCTGGCCTCTATTTTGTTGTTATCAGCTCACGAAAATACTGCCAAAGGGCCAGAAAACAAAACTTTCTCGTGTTTTACGACACAGCTCCCCAGGGCCCCTCGGCCTCGTTTGTTCTTAGTAATTTTCAGAAGCGATTCTGTCCGTGAGCTCTGCATCAGTGTCCAGGGTTCCACATCCGTGAGCTCT